CGCCTGCAGCTGGCCGGCCTGTGCCTGCAGGACGGCGCGCCCACCCACAGCGCGCACGTGCGCGAGCCGCGCCTGCTGCCCTTCCAGTCGGGCCAGGACGACATCCTGGGCTACAACCTGCGGCCCGGCCTGGACCCCGAGACGCTGCGCCTGTGCCGGCGCATGGTGACGCCCGAGCTGCAGTACATGGCCCGGCTGTACGCGCGCCAGTTCCCCGAGAAGCCCCGGAAGAGCATCCCCTTCCTGGAGGAGTAGCCCCGGGAGCCCCAGGCCCGGCCAGAGCGCTGCTCCGAGGCCAAGAGGGTGGAGACCCCCGTGGAGAGACGCGCCCTCCCCGGTCCACCCTCTCGGAGAGGACCCTCAATCCAGGACAGCGGGCGTGCCTGGCCGAGCTGGGAACCCCCTGCTGATGGCGCGGAACGGTGTCACAAGGCCAGGAGACAGAGGGACATTCCAACGGCCGACTGGCCCAAGGAGCTCAGAGGGCTGGGCCGATGCCTCTAGACTGTTGCCGTGGAGACCACGCTGGGTGATGTCCCCGAGGAGGGCATCTCTGGGCACCCCGTTTGTTGTTCGTGGGGAGGGACTGAGGCCCTCCCGCCTGGCAGGAGAGTATCCCTGGCGGCCTGGGTGTCCCACAAGTAGACTGGGGTGCACACAGCCACTGCCATGGGCCCTGGGAAGGGCAGAGGGCCTGGAACACCCAAGAAATGTAGCCACTGTCATGTGCTCGGCCTAGAGGCTTAACCGGGGCCCGTCTGTCCAGCCTGGGACGGGGAGGTGCCTCCTTCTGTGTCACGCCTGCTGCAAGGCTGTGTCCACACTTTGCAGGAGGATCAGCATGTCACAGAAGAGGGACAACCTCAAACAATCGGAATAGGCAGCCCCGTTACACGCGAATTTAATGGGGGGGGGGTTTAAGAAGAGGGAATTTTTCGTGAGTTTAGAGGAGATATTGCAACAATTTGAGAATAAAAGAGAATACGTGGAAATTGAAATACGACTCCCCCAAAGTGCATGGAGACGGTGGAGAACGGAATGAAGGCTGTTGGGTGCCGGACTCAGCCCTGAGACCACTTGCAGGTTCAGCCACGCTTGGCGCAGAGGAAAGTGCAGAGGGGACACGGGAAGGGAAGTCAGTCCCGGATGAGCCAAGGAGCAGAGAGCAGGAGTCTCGGAAGACCGGGACAGGTGGCAGATGAGGAACTTGGTCAAACAGAGAACGGGAAGAATGCCCGGGTGGAAGAGAGACCCCATCCAGTGTCTCAGTGCCAGGCAGGAGCCGCAGCTCCTGGGGGAAGCCAGGCTGGCCCGCGGGCGCCAGGGTGACGGGAAAGCGCTGCTGCCTCCGAACTCCGGGGCCCGGGTGACACTCTCAGCTGCACAGCAGCCGCTCTTTGTCTTTGCCTCTGGGACTGGCAGGAATGTAAATGGTACTGTCTTTGGAGGGAAATTCGGGGGTGTTTATTATAATGTGAGAAAGCACGTGGTTTTAATGGGGAATTTTGAAAACAACCTGCTCTGGCATCGAGAAAGGGTGTCTAAGGTGCCGCAGTGCTGTGCACTCACGGAGTATGGCTGATGCTACTTTTTGGAGGGGCATTTCCAAGCCTTCCTGATGGTGGCAAGCCCAGGGTCTGCCATGGGTGCTGGGACCAGCACTCCAGGTGAGAGGCTCTGGCTCCTTAAGGAGCAATGAGGGAAAGTCCCTCCTCAGTGGCGCTGGCACCAGGGGATGAAGCCTCAAGTGTGCCCAGGGGCCCCTGCCACAGTCGTGGGCTGCAGGTGACATTGGGGGTGGGTGGAGCCTGTGGCCCTGTGACTCAGGGGGAGCCTGGGAGGCTCATGTTCTGATTTTTCAAGAGAATCTAGAAATACGGGTTTGCATGTGAATTGTCCAGGTTGAAAAAAGCTGACGATAAAGTAAACACTAAAAGCCCCGAGCAGAGGAAGCCAGTCCTGCCTGGGCGCTGCCCCCCACCCAGGTGGCCGCAGCCTGCTGAGACCGCCTGCCTCCGAGACCCGCCTCTGCCTGTGGGGTGGTCCACACAGGTGTTGGGGGGGCTTGGAGGCTCCATTCCCTGTGAGCGCTTAGTGGGCGGCCCCTGTCAGACTCCACCAGCCCTGGACTTGGGGGACAGGAGAAGAGAGATCGGTCTCCCCCATTCTGGTTTGGGGGGCCGTCTGAGCAGTGGGACACGATCTGGCTGAGAGTTCCAGCCCTACCTGCCCACTGTCTGCCCCTTTCCTTTCCTAGCTTCATCTGGGCACAGGGCAGAGCTGGCCCAGACCCCTAGGTGTGAGCAGAAGGGACAGTGGACTGTCCATGTCTGCCGGACTCAGCCTCAGTGCCCCCTTCCCTCTCTCCCGCATCCTCCCGCTGCACACTCCCGGCCCCCCGAGTCAATCCCCTCAGGCCTCCGAGGACAGAATGGACACAGCGGGCTGATTGCCTCAGCGTGGGAACGACATGATGTGTCAGTTTTCCCACAGCCTGTTTTTCCACTGAAGTCCCTGATGCTTCAGAAGTGGCTTCAGCTGTGGGAGGCAGGGGCAACGGGAACAGAGGGCGCTGGGGCCCAGAAGTCCCCGTGGACGCTGCCTTCTGCGAGTGCCTTTCACTGACAGCAGCAGGGACCTGTGGCCTACTCAAGATTTGGACCGACAGTGGTCATTCAGGCGTCAGTCGCCGAGGCTGCCTGGGAGACAGCAGGACGGGATCGGCCAGGGTGTGTGAAGCCCCAGAGAGGTGGCTGGTGCTGGGCAGCGGGTAACCCTGGGCCCTGAGAGGTGCAGGAGCAGGGACGTGGGGCTGGGGCCCAGGGAGGCCCCAAGGGGCCGGCATCCTGGGGCTGGAGGAGGGATGCGTGGGCACCCAGGCTGTGCATCAAGGGAGCCCCAGGTCCCCATGAGGCCCGCAGGAGGGTCTGTAGGCTCACTCGGGTTCTTGTGCCAGGGCAGGTGTCTCTTTTTTCTTTTTTTGGTGACCGGTAAGGGGATCGTAACCCTTGGCTTGGTGTAGCCTGCCCCACGCTCAGCCAGTGAGCGCACCGGCCAGCCCTATATAGGATCCGAACCTGTGGCCTCAGTGCTCCCAGCGCCGCACTCTCCCGAGTGAGCCACGGGGTCGGCCAGGGCAGGTCTCTGAAGCAGCTGGCCTCTGTGTCTGGAGGTCAACTGCCCCAGTGCAGCCCTTGTTGGAGGGGGAGCCCTCCTGCCCCATGCCATGTCCCAAGCGTCCCAGTGTTGAGGCAGAGGTCCTGCAGAGGGGAGCCCTGTGCTGGCCTGGGCCATCTCCGCCTGGTCTTGGTGCTGTCCTTCCCACCCCACATGTCCTTCTGCATCCCCAGGCCCTGTCCTGGGCAGCACAACCGTCGGAGTGTCATGGTCCTGATACAGCCCTGGGACATGGCCAGCTCCTGGCTTGCTGCCCATACAGTGGAGCCCTTGTCCCTGCTGTGAGTGAGTCGAGGCAGACATCCTGTGACCAACTCTGCAGCCTCTCCGAGGTGACCGCTGAGTCCCCTCCCTGCTCACCCCCACCGCGTCCTCATCCCTGCACTGCTGGCCCTCGGGGGCCAAGACCCAGCTCCCTGCTGTGAGTGAGTCGAGGCAGACATCCTGTGACCAACTCTGCAGCCTCTCCGAGGTGGCCGCTGAGTCCCCTCCCTGCTCACCCCCACCGCGTCCTCATCCCTGCACTGCTGGCCCTCGGGGGCCAAGACCCAGCTCCCAAGAACATCTGCCCCTGCTGGCTGCCCCTCTCTGGGGATGATGGATGAGTCACACACTTGCTGAGCCCCCAGGGTGGCCCCTCACCTCCAAAAGGAGGGGTGGGCTGCATGGATCCAAAGGGCCTCTCTAGCCAAGGATCCCTCAGTGAGACAATTTCTTGGCCCACATTGTGGGAATGACGCTGAGGGGTCCTGGGGGCAGATTTAGAGGGTGGGATGGACTCTAGCTGAGAGTGGGGGCCCAAAGCTGGGCCCTACTCCAGCCTGCAGGCATGATCTTTCTGCAGATGAGCCCGGAGGTGACACTCCATCACAGAAGGGTGTGTAATTCTGAGTCCAGGGCACAGGACAACCACAGTGCACACTGGGGACACATCCTGAGGGGACAGAGCCACCTGGGCCCTCCCACTCGAGACAGGCTGCAGTGGGAGGGCTGCCCCTGCCTAGCTGTAGAATGACCCTGCAACTTGTCCAAGGGTCCAATCCTCTCGGAGGTTCCATCTCCTCCTGGGCCTTATTTCCCCTTCTGTGACTCGACACCCCTGAGGAGGGCGCTGCTGGGGAGAGTGGTGGGCACTGGCAATGTTGGAACACAGCTGTCCTGATCGAGCCAAATCCCTGGAACCTGCTGGATGGCTGACTGGGCGGGGCTGGCTGTGGGGGAGCCATGCTCTTGAACTGAGGCCCCCCGGGATGCCCTGAGTGTGCGGCAGTCCTGTCCTCTGCTGGCCTCGGCTTCCCCTGTGGGCGGAGAAGGGAGTGGCCAGCTGGTCTCTGAAGCTCCGTCTCTCCTGCTCGGCCGCAGCTGGGTGGGCCTGGTCCCCGCTGCTGCACGTTGAGCTGACACCAGCCCTGTGGTCCCGGGCTCTGGGGAGTGAGTGAAATGTGGAGAGAATGTCTCGCTTGTGCCCTTTCAGCCTGAGGGACACGTGGCACTGCACCTGCTTCCCGCCTGGGCACAATTGCCCTTTGAGTGCAGAGCCTGGGGGCTTCCAGGAGGCAGGAAGCTGCTCTCAGAAGCCCCAGCGCTGGCGGTGGGGTGAGCAGCAGGAGGGCCCGCGTGCTGCCCGCGTGAGCCTGGCAGGAGCGGCGGTTCTGGGCTGAGGGGTGGAGGCTGGACTTGCCCAGCAGAGCCCTCTTGCATCCGGGCAGGGCCTGCTCTCCTTGTGCGTGAGTGTGTGTCCCTTTACCTGTTTCCATCCTGTGGGTCCCCCGTCTCCATGGATGTGCACGGGGTCCCTGTTGCGTGCAGGCTTTGGTCCTGGGCCTGGACAGGGTGATGCCGTCCTCCTGCTTTCTCCCTTCGTGTTACTCCGTGGGCCCTGCCCGCACCACCCCCCTCACCTTTCTGCAGCTCTCTCGACCGCCCCGGTGCTGGGCTGTTCGCTCAGGCTCCAGTCTGCTTTCCTGCAAATCAGACAAAGAAGCCTCCTGGTGGGTCCGGCCCTGGCCAGCAGACCCCCTGTGTGCCCCAAAGGCACCCCCACCTGGGCCCTGCCCTTGTGAGCCTCACGGAAGCAAACTCCCAGGGGTGGGGCTGCTCCCAGAAAGGCTGCCCAGGCCACACTCCGGGCACGGGTTTTGGTTTCCTGGGGGAGTGTTTCTCAGGTGTCGGCCTGCAGATGGGGGGCTGCATTGGGGGTGCGGGCGAGGACATGGCTGGGGGTGAGCTGCCGTAGGCAGGGTCTGATCACAAGTGCCTGTCCCCTGCAGGAGCCCTGGCCTATGGGTGAGGGGAGGCCAGTGACCAGCCGAGGTTTAGGACGTGGCTGGTGGTGGGGAGGAAGGGCTGCGAGGACAGGGTGGTGAACAGCCATGGAGGGGCCTTCTTCTGTTGCTCTCTGCCCCTGAATGTCGTCCACCCCCTGCCCCACCCCACTCAGCTCCTGCTCAGCCCTTACCACCACCTCCAGGAAGCCCACCTGGCCTCCCCAGGCCTGGCTTCTCTACCAGGGAGCTCTCACTTCCCTCTCACGGCTGCTCTTGTGAGTGCGCATGTGGCACCTGGGTCTGCTGGCGCAAGCTGCTTCTCACGTTCCATCCCCTACCACGTGGTTCCTCTCTGCTGGGAGGGGAGGGGGTCATGACCTCTCTGGACTACTTGGGGTCCCTCTTGCGGTCCTTCTGGCCTGCACCACCCCTGATTCTCTCAGGGCACACGTGAGTCACCTGGGGCATGCTGCAGGTGGGGGCAGCTCTGTGGGCCCCCGCCACACCCTCAGCCCTGCTCGGGCAGCCTGAGGAGCCAGCTGGCAGGTCCCCTGTCCCTGACGATGTCCACTGGGGCCCTGAGTTCAGACCTCTTCTCTGCGGGGACCTTCTGGGCTCCCCTTGGTTTCCATGTGTGCGCATGTGTGTACATGCGCATGTGTCTGTGTTCGTTGTGGTTTCCGTGGGGGCATGGCCCCTATTTGGGGACATGGGGCTCCTCCTTGTCTGAAGCTTTGGGCCCTGACTGCCCACTGGCCAGTCTCCTGCTGGGTGAGTTCTGTGATGACCGCAGGGTCCAGGGGTCTCTGAACAGGCTCACCAGCACCCGAGCACCAACTATGCCCGGCCTAAGGGCAGCCCATGAGCTGTGTTGAGAGGGAGATGGGCTGACTCCACAGACATTTGGGGTGCAGTTGGTGTGGGGGGTGCTCAAGGGGGGCTGCCTAAGATCCAGAGTGAGGGCGCTGGAGCTGGAGCCGTCCCTACGGTGGGCACAGGGAGAGGCCCAGGGGTGTGGGGGCCTGCTGAGCCCTTCCCAGTCCAGACGGATTTGAGGGGAGCAGGTGTGGGTTCCCTGGGTCCGTTCCTCTAACCCGCAGCCCTGCTCTAACCGGCAGGGCATGGGGACCCTGCGCGTCCCTGCGCGGACAGTCCTCTTCCAGCGGGAGAGGACGGGCCTGACGTACCGCGTGCCCGCGCTGCTCCCGGTGCCCCCTGGGCCCACCCTGCTGGCCTTTGTGGAGCAGCGGCTCAGCCCCGACGACTCCCACGCCCACCGCCTTGTGCTGAGGAGGGGCACGCTGGCTGGGGGCTCCGTGCGGGTGAGTGGCCTGGTGGGCTGGGGTCACGTAGTGAGGGGAGGGCTGGTGGCGGGTGTCCACTGTGTGCTGGGCAAACTGAAGCCAGCTGTTCCGAGCACCCCTGCGGGACTGAGTCCAGGTCCCTGGACACCTGGCCAGTGGGCTCTTCCTCCTCTGGGCAGTGGGGCGCCCCGAGTGTGCTGGGGACGGCGGCCCTGGAGGAGCACCGTTCCATGAACCCCTGCCCCGTGCATGACGCAGGCACAGGCACGGTCTTGCTTTTCTTCATTGCTGTGCTGGGCCACACGCCCGAGGCCCTGCAGATCGCCACGGGCAGGAACGCAGCCCGCCTCTGCTGTGTGACCAGCCACGACGCTGGCCTCACCTGGGGCAGCGTCCGGGACCTCACCGAGGAGGCCATTGGTGGCGCTGGGCAGGGTAGGTGGGCAGAGCTGGCATGGGTGGGCGGGGCCCGGTGCCTCCGACGGGCCGCTGCGCACATGCGTGGGGGGAATGGGGGGGATCCAGCTGGAAGTCTGCCGTCTGCCCTACCTCCACCTGGGACCTCCTCCCAGGACTATGCAGCATCCCTGACCCCTCGGCCCCAGGCAAGTGGGTATGGCTGCCCCACCCCACCCCAGCCGCCTGGCGGGCAGCAGCAGCCAACAGCTGACCCCAGACGCTGCCTTTTGTCTTCCTGGTTTCTCTTCATGTGCACAGGGGAGGGTGGGACGCTGAGCCCTCCGCTTCCTCCCACTCCCTCCTCCCCCCCTCTGCTTCTCGCCCTGCCAGGGGCGCCGGGCCCAGCCCTCACCTCCACCTTCAATGCCCCCAACACATGAGAAAACGACCGGCCTCCGTGGCCACCCTGACCCCGGCACATGGGAGCTGCACTGAGGGGCATGGTCTTGCACGTCCCTACTCCCCCTACCCCTGCTGCTCTCTGTCTGGGCAGCGCTCAGGCTGGGCACTGATGGGGCCGTACGCCAGGGCTTGGGGGCTGGCTGCCTGCTCACACACCAAGAACCCGGCCGGGTGGGCTCCTGGCTCCTGGGCTGCGAGAGGCTCGTCCAGCCAGGAGGACTCAGGGTGGCGGGGAGGCAAGTGTGTGGCAGTCAGCTTAAGAGGCCTGGCCCTGACCCGCCCTCCTTCCTCTCATGGTGGCACTGCCCGCAGTAGTCCCCTCCCGGGGTATCCAGCACCCCTTCCCACCTCTGCCCCTCCTCTCTGCAGACTGGGCCACGTTTGCGGTGGGCCCAGGCCACGGCGTCCAGCTGCGCTCGGGCCGCCTGCTGGTGCCCGCGTACACCTACCGTGTGGACCGCAGGGAGTGCTTTGGTAAGATCTGCCGGACCAGCCCCCACTCCTTCGCCTTCTACAGCGATGACCATGGCCACACCTGGCACTGTGGGGGCCTTGTGCCCAACCTGCATTCGGGCGAGTGCCAGCTGGCTGCAGTGGATGGCGGGCAGGCCGGTGGTGTCCTCTACTGCAATGCCCGGAGCCCCCTGGGCAGCCGTGTGCAGGCGCTGAGCACTGACGGGGGCGCCTCTTTCCTGCCCGGGGAGCTGGTGCCCACCCTGGTGGAGACCGCCCGGGGCTGCCAGGGCAGCATTGTAGGCTTCCCAGCCCCGCCCCCAAGTAGGCCTCTGGATGAGGGGCTCCCCCACCCTCCACGCCTCTGTCCTGGGGCCCAGGACCCCCCTGAGGAGGGTGCTGGAGCCATGCATGGGGGCCGGGTGCCCTGCACACCCTTCTGTCATCCACAGTCCTGGGAGCACGACCCAGGGCAGGCTGGCCAGGGGCCAGCGCCCTCTGCCGTCCTGTCCCAGAGCCCCACATGGCTGTTGTACTCCCACCCGGCGGGGCGCAGGACCCGGCTCCACATGGGCATCCGCCTGAGCCGGGCCCCCCTGGACCCCCACAGCTGGACGGAGCCCTGGGTGATCTACGAGGGTCCCAGCGGCTACTCTGACCTGGCGTGCATTGGGCCTGTGCCTGCGGGAGCCCTGGCCTTCGCCTGTGTGTACGAGAGTGGGGCCAGGGCCTCCTACGAGGAGATCTCCTTCTGCGTGTTCTCCCTGCGCGAAGTCCTGGAGAACGTGCCCGCGGGCCCCCAGCCACCTGGCCTCGGGGACAAGCCTCGGGGACCCTGCCGGCCCTCCTGATGGGCCCCAGGGTGCCCGGGGAGGAGGGGGTGGCATGTGCTGAGGTGGTGAGGCCGGAGGCCGGCAGGAGCCCGGGGTGGACGGAGCTCTGCAGCCGGGCTGCTCCACGAAGAACTGAGAGGGCTTTGGGAGGACCCCGCTGGGTTCTAGAAAGTTCAGGGCCACGTGCTGAGACAGGCAGGGCTGCTGCTCGGGAAGGGCGTGCAGCCACCGGCGAGGACCCGGGTGCGGGATGGGATGGGTGGGGTGACAAGCTGCCGACCCTGCTCGACCTGTACGGGCCCCTGGGAGGCTGGCGACCTGCACCGGGACAGGCTCCCGGCCGCCGCGGCACGTTTTCTCTTCGGCGTGTGACCGCCAGCCACTCTGTGGCTTATGAGCGAGAAACGAAGGGATCGCGCTCGCGTCCAGGAGCCACTTCCTTCCACGTGCGGGCCCCGGGAGGGCCCCGGTGCTCCCACCCGCCTGACTCCCGTCCCGGTCTCGCTGCCTTATCCACACACTGCCCCCGAGCACGCGGGGCCGGCAGAGGCGAGGGCAGGGTGGGAGGACGTGCTGGCCTCCTCTGTCCACTGCCTCCTTGGTGGCAGCCCCGAGTCTGTCCGGGGTTTGTGAATGGGTGGCGTCCGCCCGGGCCTCTGAACTTCCCGCTGGAGGGGCAGGGGCGGGCATGGACGGAGGACGGCCACCCCCCGGACAGCCTGGTGCCCTGCTCCCTGGCTGCTCTCTGTGGGGACTGTCCCTCAGGGAAGCACCTTTTTGTTTCTTCTCCTTTTAAAGTCTTCATTTCTGATTATAAAAACAACACATGCTCGTTGTAGAAGCTGGAAAATGTAGAAAGCTGTGAAGAAAAATAAAACTGACCCGGTGGGCCCCTGTCCCCCCATGGCCGTGGCTGGCTTTCGGGGCTTCTCTCCACCTTCTGTCTGTGCGGGGCCTTCCTGGCACCAGTCGCCGCTGGGCAGCTCTGTGGCGACAGCTGTGCCTGCGCGGTCCTGTTGTTTCTTCACACGGCCCTGCTGAGTCATCTTCCTCCCGGTTGTGAATCATGTGTGACAAGATCTTTGGGGTGTCTCTGGGTCCAGTTATTTCCGTAGGGTAGATTCCCACGGGGAGGGGACCCACAGCCAGCCCCAGCAGCGTGGGGTGTCCGGGAGGCCTCTGAGCTGCCCAGTGCTCCCAAGGCAGCAGAGAAGACCCCCTCACTGCTCCCTGTTCTCAACCACCCCCCTGTGGGGAGGGGGCTACCTGTGAGGGGGTCACTGCTGGGCACCGGCAGCGGGCAGGGGCAGCAGGGGGCTGGATCCAAGGCCCCTCAGAGCCCCGAGCATTCCCGTGATCACGCACGGACCCCACCCCACCTGCAGGTGGCCATAGCCCCTCAGAGGAGAGGCCATCTGCCTGGGGTTCCTGGACAATCAGCTTTGTCTGGGTCCATGTCTTAGTCTGTTGGAGCTGCTATAACAAAACACCATAGGCTGGGTGGCTTCTAAACCACAGAAATTTATCTCTCACTGTTTCAGAGGCTCCAAGTGCAAAATCAAGCCAGACTCTGTGTCTGGTGAGCACTTCCTGGTTCACAGACGGCGCCTTCTCACATGGTGGAAGGGGCAAGGCGTCTCCCTGGGGGTTCTTTCATAAGGGAACTAATACAATCATGGGGGCTGCACCCTTATGCCCTAATCATCCCCCAAAGGTCCACCTCCTAACACATCAAGTTGTGCGTGAGGATTTCAATATATGAATTTTGGGGGACACAGACATTCAGACCATGGTAGTCCAGTTTTCTGCTTTCAAATCTAAACGAAGAAGCCATGGGTTTCTCTGTGGTTCTGGAGGCCACAGAACTGACAGGTACTCATGGCTGTTCTTTGTCCTTCACTTCCCATACTAGGGTGAGCAGTGTCCCCAAAACTCATGTGCACCCAGAACCTCAGTCTGTGACCTTATTTGGAAATAGGGTCTTTGTAGATGTAATCAAGGTGAGATGAAGTTGATAGAGTCTGGATGTGTTGTCCCCGCCAAAACTCACGTGGAAATCTGACCCCCAATGTGGCAGTGTTGGAAACTGATTGAGTCATGGGGGCGGATCCCTCATGAATGGATTAATGCTCTCCCTGGGGGAGGGGCCCTGAGTGATTTCTCACTCTATTAGTTCCCGCGAGAGCTCGTTGCTTAAAAAGACCCTGGCACCTTCTCTCTCTCTCTCTTGCTTCCTCTCGCCATGTGATCTGCTTGTACCCACCAGCTGCTGCCACTTTCTGGCATGAGTAGAAGCAGCCTGAGGCCTGTGCCAGATTCAGCTGTCCCAGAATCGTGAGCCAAGTAAACCTCTGTTCTTCATAAATTACCCAGTCTCAGGTATTTCTGTTATACCAACACAAACGGACTAATACAGAGGTCACACTGGATTAAGGTGGGTCTCAACCCAGTGACTAGTGTCCTTATAAGAAGAGGGGAATTTGCACACAGACACAGGGCAGAAGCCATGTGAAGACAGAGGCAGAGACTTGAGTGATGCAGCCACAAGCCCAGGGATGTCCGGAGCCACTAGCAGCTGGAAGAGACAGAAGGAGCCTGCCCTGGAGCCTGAGAGAGAGCACTGCCATGTCAGCCCTTTGTTCAGACTTGCGGCCTCCAGAGCTGAGAGAGAGAACACGTAGCGTATCACACCACAATAAAAAAAAATGGGGAGAAAACCTGCACAACATATTCTATAGTGTGGATGTCCTGTACTGTATCCAACATGTCCTTGTTGAGGGACGCTCAGATTGTTTCTGGTGTTTTCCTCCTGTTACAGACAATGTTGCAGTAACTTTGATTTTGTAGGATGGTTTCCCTCATGTGGGTGACTGAGCAGAGGTCTGTATGATTCTTTCTTTAGTAGATAGCTCCTTCTTGAAAGGAGTGGCCACTCACATCCTGTCAGTGATGTTTGGGAAGGCTGCTTTCCTTGCACGCCTGCTGCACTGCACATGATCTAACTTTTCATGTTTTTTCCCTGGGGAATTTCCCAGTCCTGGGTATAAGGAGAGTGTGAACTTCATGGCTAAATGTCAGGTTCTCGACCTTCCCCAAACACAGCTACACCGCACTCCAAACACAACTACACCCCACCCCAAACACAACTACACCCCACCCCAAACACAACTACATCCACCCCAAACACAGCTACACCCCACCCCAAACAACTACACCCCACCCCCAAAACTACACCCCACCCAAAACACAACTACACCTCACCCCATACACAACTACACCCCACCCCAAACACAACTATATCTCACCCCCATAATCTACACCCCACCTCAAACACAGCTATACCCCACCCTAAACACAACTATACCTCACCCCAAACACAGCTACACCCAACCCGAAAAACAGCTACACCCCAAACACAGCTACACTCCATCCCAAACACAACTACACCCCAAATACAGCTACACCCCACCCAGAACACAACTACACCCCATCCCAAACACAACTACATCCACTCCAAACACAGCTACACCCCATCCCAAACAACTATACCCCACCCCCCAAAACTACACCCCACCCAGAACACAACTACACCTCACCCCAAATACAACTACACCCCACCCCCAAAATGACTATATCCCACCCCAAGCACAAGTATAGAAAATACCCACATAAGACAGCCGGTGGAACTATATCTGTGTCAGACAAAGACCTTGCGGCTGAAGCTCTACTAGTGACATTTCAACATGATAAAAGTTTTGATTCACCAGAAAGTGATAACAATTCTAAATTTGTATGTGCCTAACACTGTGCCTCAACATGTAAAGCAAAAATGGACAGACTTACAGGGAAAAATAGATTCTCAATGATTGTAGAAAGTTTTAGACACAAGGACTTCCGTCACTGACAGAACAAGCAGACAGAGGAGCATCAGCAGGACACAGAAGACATGGACGATGTGATGAAAGGACCTGACTCAAGCGTACGTGACACAGCCCAGACGATGGCAGCCTGTGTGCTCTCCTCAAACACTCTCAGATACAAAAACTGACATTGTGTTGGGCTGTAAAGTCAAGTCTCCTTAAATTTCAAAGGATTGAAAATTACTAAATTACTATGTAATTGAACTAGAAATACAAACAAAAGATAATCCAACGTCCTCATACGTTTGGAAATTAAGGAACACAATAACAATTCTAAGTAATTCAAAGAAGAAGCCACAGTGGACATTGGAAAAATTTTGAAATTAATTATGCGAATACCACGTAAAACTTGTGGGATGAAGCTAAAGATGGGCTCCGAGGGCAATGCGTAGCCTCCAAATGTGTAGGTTAGAAAAGAAGCAAGACTGGTAACCACTGACCATGAGAAGGTAGATTAGAAAAGGACAGCAGATGGGGCCGGCCCGGTGGCGCACTGCTACAGTGCGCCGCTTGGGAGCGCGGTGGCGCTCCCGTCGAGGGGTCGGATCCCACGTACAGACCGGTTCCCGCTCACTGGCTGAGCGAGGTGTGGGAGCAGCGCCGAGGGTTGCGATCCCGTTGCCGGTCCTGGTCCGGTACGGGGGCGACACTGAGGGTTGCGGTCCGTTGCCAGACACGGAAAAAAAAAAAAAAAAAAAAAAAAAAAAAAAGAAAAGGACAGCAGATTAGATCCAAGGAAAGTAAGACAGTGCAGATGAGGACACAGTGATGGAATTGGGAAAATCACGCATAAACAAAGCCAAAAACTGGTCTTTGAAAAGACTAGCAAACATGATAAACCTTTGATGAGACTGCTCATGAAAAAAAGAAAGAAAACACAAATAACCAATGTCAGGAATAAGAAAGTATGCTCTAGAGATCCCACAGACAGTCAAAGATTTCGAGGAGATATTTTGAGCAATTTTAGGCCAATTAACTTGAAATTTGAGTGAAATGGACAATTCTTGGGAAATACAACTTATTATAACTGGTATGAGATGAAATAGATAATCTGAAAAATCTTATTAAAGAAATTGAATTTGTAATTTGCAATCTGCA